AATGCTTATGCTTATGGGAGTGTCATGAAGTACTGGGTTGGTAGCCATGAGTTAAACGATACCTATGTAACGTGTAAAAGACAGTCTTTTGTAGCAAACACGCTTCTAAGGGAGTGGTGAACATCTACCCTCCCCAGTTGGTGAATATACCTATATGTATGCTATGGGATGCATAGGATAAAACCTGTGTGTTACCGGTGTGCATGCAGTGTATATTTACTCACAGGATAGATATACCTGTATGCATACCAAGGAATATTCGTATGAAAGTCTGTGTTACCCAGTATGCATATAGACTATAACTATCCAGGATAAGTAAATACTTCACAAAATCCTTAACTTTCTCTTCTTCCTCACAAAATCACATCCACACAGAGGGTTTGTGAGCCTTGAGAAACACGGAATTCATTCTACAATAACCTACATAGGCTCCACAGGAGAAGGCTTTATCAACCAATCTGGCTTGAATACATACATTTTGTCCTTTTTACATTGCATACATATTTTTCTAAAATATGATAAAATGTCTGTAAACATTTATTGTCTTTGTAATGGTTGAGATCATGAGTTATTTGAAACTAGACCACCATGGAAAACCTGGAAGCACTAGACAGCCGTTTCGTCCTATTATGGGACTGTTGAGCAGTGCGTATCCACGATCCCACCTCGCGAGATTCGAACCATTGTCTACCAAATAGAATTTCTTTCAAGTTAGAATAGTTTGTTTAACTGATTGAGAAAATTTAAAATGGTGTATTATTTTAACATTATTGAAATTAAATCTTCCCAATTACTAACCGGCCTAAGTTAGCTATTCATTGGAAAGCAGGAAGTGATAAATAGCGGTTCAGTCCTAGTATGAGAACCTTCATATACAACCCTACCACAAGAATTCGAACTCAGCATTTTTGGTTTCGTAAATTAGCACTTGAATTTTAGATCACTGACCTAGGATCTACTGGTGCGTATACCTAACTCCAGTCAGCTTACGATATTCTATGACAATTTTACATCGTCTTCAATGAACAACTCTCTCAGATCCAACGCGTTCAAACTCCACTGGTTACGACTTAAAAGATTATTTAGATCTTCATCATTCATACTTAACCTAGTATTACTTGTAACAGATCTTAATACTTAATGTTCACCTGATACTTTTTCTACTGCCTTATAATTGAAAATTAGTCACCGTTTGAATTGAGATGGTAGTACAAGAAATCCGTACATGAATCCATTTGATCGTATCACTTCATATTGAATTTATCATCGATTTGAAAATCATTCGTAATCGATGGAAAGAACACAAGATTTATGGTGAATAAAAATGTATGTTTCTGATGGATTGTTCATTGAATATTTCATCTGAATATTCTTCGTCTCTAATTACAATCAGAAACTTGTTCATGATTTATACAAAATCATATATTGATTCGAATTCTTTCACAAGTTATTAGTAACATCTATCATTCACTACTCAACAACAGCCTACTGTGAGAGAGAATAAACAAGATTGCGACTAAAGGGGGGAAACTAGGAAAAGACGTTAGAAGTGGATAGAACATACATTTCGGAAATCAAATTGAATCATGAGGCAACCGCTTACTTAGAATCCTGAAGGGCAATATAAAAGAGGAAGGCGAAATTCCACACTACGTCTAGAATTGTAAACAGACATGAAAAGAATGAATATCAACTGGAAAGAATTGTCCAGGACAGAGTATATGTATGAACTAATATATAAATGAGTGTATTTCCTACTAGACTTGTCGTGGTTGTTCATATATATATATATATATATATATATATATATATATATATATATATATATATATATATATATTTCCCTCTTCTGAACTTGAACTTCTCTCTCTAGTTAGCTTGACTGGGAAGCGTTGAAATAGATGGCTTATCTTTCATTGTGTCATAGAGTTTTTGTTCCATTCTCAAATTAGTTGAACTCATAATCTCTTCAAACATACCAATGAAAAATGCTGATGAGCCACTTATGCTTTTCAATGAGGAGTAACTGACGTAAGTAAGTAGGTAATCTCATTTACTACCAATTATGCAACAATTCAATATCTCCGATATCATACTCGTCAATTTAAAATTCATAATTGTATTATTTCATTTATTTTAAGTGTATTAACAAACTTTAAATAATAGATTCTTATAGTTTGAAATAGATCTTTCCCCTTTCCCCTTCCCCGTTCCCCGTTCCCCCCCCCCAGTTTATTAATTTCAACCTTACCGGTTGATGAATGAATATTGTATTATTTTATCTCTTTTTTTTTAAAAAAAAAGAAGCAAACGTAGAGACAAAATCTAATTGGAATAACTTGAAGCATAACAAAAAAAAGAGGAAAAAATTGAGAGAAAAATCCATAAAAGAAAAATATACTTTGTAAAAATTAAAAAAATTTGCTCTTTTTTGAAAAAAAATTTACTCTTTAAAATAAATCGAAGGATCTACTGAATCGAATTTGGTTCTTCTAAGAAAAAAAATCGATTTTTAAAAATTTTTAATGTTCCTCAAATCATCAAGCTGTTTGTTGATAAGAGTACAAAACTGCCGGAGGGGGGGGAAGGAAGGTTGTAATCATGTATAACTTAATTTTCACTTGATTCTTACTTGTTCATAACCGACGAAATATGAATCTAATCCTTATTGGTTATTGATTTAGTTGATGTTGTGTTTAATGAATCGTTGTACTATATGGTTAATCCTTATTTTAGATGTTAACCAATCATTGTAAGATGAACCCATTAGATTTGTGCTAAAATCTGTAATAAAATCAAAAATAGAAACAATAACAGAATAATGAATAAGTTTCAAATAAATAAAAAAATAAAAAAATCATAAACTACACATACAAAATGATTCATGATATTGTATTATTGAATCGATGTTGTAAACTCGAGAAGTGCCTAACTGATTCTACAATGACTGATTTTCATAAGAGATTTCATGAGTTGATCAAAGCTAAACCAACATTGAAAATCTTGAAGTACTGGAAGGTCGTTTCGTCCCAATGAGAGACTAATCAGTGGTGAGAATTCACAATCTCGCACGTGGGACTCGAACTCAGGACACTTTGTCTCACGTGCAGACTCTTAACCTCTAAACCACTAAGTCAGCATTCAACGGTGTTAATGTCTAATACTAATCAATCCACGAAGTTGCTCCATCGTACACCATTGTCTTCAGTGAGCTGATATCTCACAACAGACCTGGTTGTATTCCACTGGTAACGGCTTCCCACTAGAACTCCAGGAGTATCTCTTCAAGTCAGTCACTAGTGAGCAGATGATTATTATCGGAAGGGGTTTGTGGAGATTTTTAGAAATTTTCACAGATTGAAATCATGAGTCAGTTGAAGCTAACATTAACACCGTCGGATGCCGGCTCAGTGGTCTAATGGTTAAGTGCTCTCGCGCGAAGCCGGTAGGTCCTGGGTCCGAGCCCCGCGTGGTGCGGGATCGTGGATGCGCACTGCTGAGGAGTCCCACAATAGGACGAAACGGTCGTCCAGTGTTTCCAGGTTTTCAATGGTGGTCTAGCTTCAACTGACTCATAATTTCAATCTGTGAAAATTTCTAAAAATCTCCACAAACCCCTTCTGATAATAATCATAATTGTTATTGAGCAATCACTGTTCTCATACATGGGCTGAATTGTAATCGTCAATAAGAACAAAAGAAAATTACAAATCATTATCAGGTATTTACATATTTGTTGAATATCTGAAGCCATTAGTTTAACCGATAATGTACTGACCGTTTGAAACTAAAGGTACTGCGTACATTCAATTGATAGATCACTAATAGGATGAATTGTACATCTTGTATTCGATGACTATATACATATATCAACCATATTAGAATATCATTGTTTTAACTATTGTCAATCAGAATTCAGCAAACTTAATATGGGTTCAAATCACAGATGGTAATCGAATTTATCAACTTATTGTTAAGACAAGATGGACATAATCATAATAATAGTGCCCGCATTATCATCTGTCTGCTTTAAATTTTGTCTGTAAATTACGTAATCCAAGTTTATTTTACCAGCTTATACGAGATAAGAGATTTTTACACCAGTATACAATGACTATTTTTCTTTTTGTTTAGATGGTGACATTTATATTATTGGAAATGAATGTCAGTTAACTTGCTGAAGTCATTAACGATCTATTAAATCAATGATGGTCTAACTTAGATCGACTCGTGATTTCAACTGGGAAAATGCAATAATCTTCACAAATCCTCATGCTGATAATGCTAGTTAGACCATCATTGAAAACCTAAGCGATCATCTCAGCCTAGTATGGGACTCCTTGGCAGTGTGTATCCATGACCTCATATCCGGGAACTAAATCCAGGACCTTAAGCTTTGTGTACAAATGCTTAAAATTAAGACCAATGAACTCGTTTAACCACTTCATAATATTTTATAGTAATCTTCCATTGCCTTTTATAAGTACCTGTTTCATAGTCTATTTGATTGAACTGTACTAGTCACAGCTTACAAATTTTCCCTAGTAGTTCGAAAACCATGGTAATTCTATAATCTCTACCATACTTTATGTCATAACCATTCCTGTCTAAAATTTTTAATTATTTTCATTGATATATCTTCACATCAAACTGTTCATTTGCCACATAAATTATCATAGGTGGTCGACATGTGACCAGCATGTGAACAATAATCCACAGTTCCACTTTGAGACATTCCAATGGAGGGGGGTAGAGGATAAACTTATTTCATAAAATAAAAAGAAAAATTCGGAAAACTCAAGTCTTTGTACTTGTTCCCTCCCTCTCCCTCCCTCTCTCATGTCAAGGTGATAAAGGGAACTATGTTTATAAAATTCGAAAAAAAAGATAACACCCCCTAATTTGTAACTAAGTGCAATTTAATGAGTAATATGTAAGGGGCAACAATAGATAAACTTACCTTTTATTTAACTCAATAATCAAATAAATAGACTTTATATTCATGTTCCATTTAGTTTATGCATATAATTATCATCATTTAATAACCATTGAAGATGAGAAACATTATTGTATAAATTTAAAGTCGATTGATTTTTAGATGATAAATTAGATGAATTAATCACTGATGAATTTGCTAATGATGAAATCGGGGTTGTTGGCATACATCCAACATTATACCATGTTGATAATGAATAATGATGATTGATTTTTGATAATAATTCAACTTGAGATTTAGAACTATCATAACCGGAATCAGTGAATGATGAAGTAGAATTAGATAATAGATGTTTTCCAGTTCTATCATTCTGTCTAATAGGATTTAACATATTGTATGGAGTTGAGTCAATTATTGGTGTCGATGTTATTTCCTTAATATCATTGTGATTATTATTATTATTATTATTATTATTATTATTATTAATAACATTATTAGTATTACTATAAGTAGTAATGTTTTGGTCCCAATGAGTCGGAAATATCGGTGACAGGTATAATTGATTTACTGATCTTCTTTCTTGAATAGATATGTCTCCGTATGGTGGCATAACCTTCTCGAAAGATGAACAGGAGGTCCCTGATCTTACTTCGTTGCGATTGATTTCAAATAGTCCAGCTGATTTAGGTAGTGATGATGATATAAATGAGTTGGTTTGTTTGATCTTATTATTTGTACATGTTGCATCTTTATCAGTATAATCTGTTGACTGATTAATCAAATTAGAACATGAATTTTCCTGCCCATGTAATACTTTATCCAAATGTTCAATATACCATATTGCTTTTTTCAAAGTTGATATTTTACTTAATTGTTCACCTGAACGACATGGAACTACAGCTCGAAGACGATCAAATCCCATATTCAATAATTTCACACGATTTCTTTCTCTTTCATTACGTCGAGTTATATTCATTGAATCTGTATTCCCGTAAGATGATGATGATGATGCCGAATATGTTTTCAGTGTTTTATTAAGAGATCTATCAAATTTAATAGGACATTCATTTTCTGATCCTGTATAGGTATTTGACAAATTTGCTAAAGGTTTACGTAACTTTTGATTATTCAGTTTATTCCAATTTTGTAAATTGATATTCTCATTCGATTGTAATTGAGCACATCTCTTATTATAAGTTCTTTTCATAGTTCCAGTTTGTTGTTGACTTTCAGACATTAGAATAACTTTCTTTTTATTCAATTATATAAAATAAAATATAACATGGACAGTAATCACAATCAATATCAGCTAGGAATTCTTTGAAATACAATCGCTTCAAAAGCAAGCTCAGAGACCTGATTACATTTGAGTAAGTTTCCCTATTTATACTATATTTTAGCCAATCTATCCACCCACCCCCCACCCTCCTCAATTGTCACATTTTTTTTCTTATAATATTTGGAGAATTTAATATACAGTAATAATAAAAAGACTCGTGTCAATGCTTTCATAGACAAAATCTTGCAATTTCATTGGTTACTCAAAGACATATAGATAACACGTGGCAGATCACTCGTGCGCTAATATTAACCAATCAGCATACGCTGAATTATTAACCAATCAGGTTGCAATATATGAAATGATCGGCAAAATACTTCCCTGATTGAAATCATGAGTCAATTGAAGCTAGACCATCATGGAAAACCTGGAAGCACTGGACGGCCAATTCGTCCTAGTATGGGACTCCTCAGCAATACACACCCACGGTAATATATTAGATAATTCACTTATAGTGGTCTAGCTCCAATTGACTCATGACTTTTAATCAGTGAAATTTCTAAAATCTCCACAAAATCCATTGTGATAATAATCATCTGCTCACTAGTGACTGACTTCAAGAGATACTCCTGGAGTTCCAGTGAGAAGCCGTTACCAATGGAGTTCAACCAGGTCTGTTGTGAGAAATCAACTCACTGAAGACAATGGTGTACGGTAGCCCAACTTCGTGGATTGGTTTAAATTAAACATTAACACCGTTGGATGCCGGCTCAGTGGTCTAGTTGGTTAAGCGCCTGGGGCGAGACTGATAGGTCCTGGGTTCGTACCTCGTGGATGCGCACTGCTGAGGAGTCCCATACTGGGACGAAACGGCCGTACATTGCTTCCAGGTTTTCCATGGTGGTCTAGCTTCAATTGACTCATGATTTCAATCAGCAAAAATATTTTCGTTGAAGGTTTTTCACTTAATAGAACTGTGAATGAAAAGATTAAAATTACACCTTAATGCTTTCGTATAGGCTTCATGTAATTAAGTTGACATGCTGTGAAGTAAGAAATAAGGATTAGACTTAAACATCAGTGTCCGTTGTTTTTATTATTATATAATAATAATCATTCTGTACATCGTTATTTCTCTTCGGAAACTGAAATCCATGGTTCCATCTGTATGTCAAACACTAGATATTCTCCACAAAAAGGAGTTTCCTAATAGCTTTAATTACTATAAAAGGTTTTTGGTGGGACTGTTGAATTTCATAGTTTACTTAATTTCCTGAGATTGAGTAGATAACCACTGAAAACTAAGAAGTAATCAACAGTTGCTTTGTCCCAATTTGAGAATTATTCACAATCCACCGCATATGATCGAACCCAAAACATTCAGGGCTCGAGGTGATCTCTTAAACTTCCGGCCACTCAATCGTTGATGGACATCATTGAGAAATCTCATATTAGAATGAAGCTGATGTCCGGTGCTTCCTAATTTTCAACTTGTGTTTATTCACAGTTGGTCAGTGATATTCACTACTAAAATTTTATAATAAATAGTTAAATCTTGAACCACTGGCTAGTAACCCTTTTTAACTTATTAAAATATCTATTTTGTTGAAGATTATGCTACAGATTCGAAATAATTAAGTTTATAAATTTTCAAACATCACAATGTTTCATTTTTGTGTTGGTTGTTTGAATCTCCACATTGATCTTTAGATCTGCAATTGATCCGTCTCTTATTAGCATATGTGCATCCTATGTAGATTATCTCTGTATTGTCTTGAGTCACAAACATTCTAAGCAAAGATGGATAGTGGTTAGTAGTGGAATTCGGGACGCGCGTTTCTTCCTATTTAAGACTCATCAACTGGATGAACTTTCACCCTAGAGTTGATGTTCACTCTAGGACTCGAACACAACACCATTCACTTCAAACGTCATTGTGTTATCCATTTAGCTACTGAGTCTCGATAACCACCATAACTTTATAGATTCAATATCCAGTGACATTATGTAATTTTGGAAAGTTATTATTCACTTGCACAATATATTCTATGTGTTTCTGTTTTTCGGCACTGGTTCCACACGGGATTACTCATCCATGATATCAGGATAGAATCTGTTTATACTACTTTATCATAGTAAAGAATGACATTTTACCGCGTAGTTAATTCACGGTCTTCATTGAAACCTACAAAACATTCAGTTTACTGAGATCATATAAATATTTATATGTGCTGTTTATCATCTATGAAACAGTGTTGTAATCGTATCTTATGTAACCTAGATGAAGCCAATGTTGAAATCATAAGAATATGGTTTAAAATCAGTCAGTTGTTAGAAATGTTAATAATTTATTGAGTAAAATAGAATAAACCAATGTTTTCTTTTAGTCAAGGAATATAAGTTAATAATGCAGTGATTACATATAACTAAATATCAATATGAAGTAGTGAAGATGGTTAAGTTTTGGATTGGGATCATGAATCGATCAATGTTAGACCATCGCTGAAAACCTAGAATTAAATATCTACTATTTGTTACTTACTTACTTATTTACGCCTGTTACTCCTAATGGAGCATAGGCTCCCGACCAGCATCCTCCATCTGGAGCCCCTCTTGGGCTACTGCCGGTCCCAAACCCGGATAAAGGAGGAGGGTCGAGCATGGGGTTAGCGAACCCATCCCGTTGAAAACTAACTTGCTAAAAACACGCTAACCAGAAAAATATCTATTATTTGTAATGACATTCCATTGTGGTTTGAATTAATGGCGAAACTCTGGAAGATATGGAATTTTTCACATAACTGTGGAGCATCGTCGATGAAAAAAGAGGTTCAGATTCAGACGTAAAGGCGAGGATTAGCAAAGCAAGGGCCGCATTCCTACAATTGAAGAACATATGGAACTCAAAACAACTGTTAACCAATATCAAAGTCAGAATCTTGAATACAAACGTCAAGACAGTTCTTCTGTATGGAGCTGAAACGTGGAGAACTACTTCAACCATCACCATAAATGTACAAGTATTTATAAATAGTTGTCTACGCAAGATACTCAACATCCATAGACCAGATACTATCAGCAACAGCCTACTGTGAGAGAGAACAAACAAGCTTCCAGCTGCAGAGGAAATTAGGAAAAGACGTTGGAAATGGATAGGACATATATTTAAAAAATCACCAAGCTGCATCACGAAGCAAGCCCTATCTTGGAATCCTGAAGGGAAGTGGAAAAGAGGAAGTCCAAAGAACATATTACGTCGGAAAATAGAAGCAGATATGAAAAAGATGAATAACTACTGGAAAAAGCTAGAAAGGAGTTACCAGGACAGGGTTCGATGGAGAATGCTGGTGTGCTGCCTATGTTCCTCCACGAGGAGTCTATTGTGATTTATAGAAATGAACCAAAATAAGACGTAAGATTCTTGGTTTATTAATTAAAAATAAATTTTAATTGTATATGATGCTATTCAAATCGGAAAGAATCAATGAAATCTCATAATAACCGGTAATTAGTGATCTCTTAGACAGACCTATCCAGTAGAGATCTGAATATTTTTATTCCATTAAGGGAGGTGTCATAAACAGACTGTCTCTTTGGATGACTCGAATGTGAAGTTATCAGTCTACTCGCTTTTATGGGTCAATTTGCACTGTCATTACAAAGCATGCACCTGGCAAGCTCACATTAGAGAACACCCTATGGATAATGGAAGTTAGTCAACAACTCAGTCCTTGAACACAGTCAACTCTATTCATTTACTTCCATGAGGATCATAGCGTCAAAATACTCGACTAGAAAAGGGTTTGAATTAGAAATATGTGTGCAATGGAATTTTTACGCACAAAAAAGATATGTTCGATCCCTTAATTTTCCAGTTTAATATCGGTAATTTCTATCTTATTCCTCACCTTCTATGTATTCATCCCTTAGACAATTATCCGAGTTGGATGGTGGTTAGCAATGGAATTTACATGTAGTATATTTCAAAAGAAACTGACTAATTGCAGCCCAAAACATCAGTGTCAAGACTAAAACAACCAATATAAACGAATTAGACAATTATCGGTTATATTTTTTTTATATAAAGTGAAGTGTATCAGCAATAAAGTTAATAAAGCCTCATAGGAGAAGTTCATTGGTTCTTCTGAAAAGAAGACTGTCAGTTTTCGAGGCGCATAAACCCACCACACAGTTATGTTTTCTTGCGGAAATCGTTGAAAACCCCTGAGTATTGGAGCATGGGGGTCTCATCTGGCACCGGTATACCTTATAAGTGTACCGGTAACAGATTTTCACCCATGAAACCCATATGCATACTCACCTCTTGGGAGAGTTGATGGTCATTACTCACTTCATTCGCATTTACTATACGTTACATACATATCAGAGGCACATAAGCTTGTGCTCATGCATAATATAGCATATATATAAGCACAAGCGCTCTTAAGAGAGATATGATTGTCAACACTCCCTTCATCAATATTTGTTACACCTCATTTTTGTTTGGACAGACCTATTTTTGACTTAGGATAGGCCTCGTTTTTTGACAGAGGGCAGGTTGTCTACTCTATCTCATTCCAGGCGAGCCTGGTGCTCACTATTTGGACAAACATACACAAGCTACATAACCTGGGACTCATGCAACTCGTATATTATATAAGCATACACAAACGACAACCCTTTACAATTTTAGTACTTCGAATAGTCTAGATTACCGCTTAGTAATAGATTAGTCCAATATCCATCGACCGCCCAAGTAAGTTCATGATTTTTTCCTATGATTCATCAGTACCACAAGGTGGCCAAAGATCGAATTTTAGGGCCAGATGGAGGGGACGCTATTGTATTGTGGATACTGTCAACTAGATTGGCTAGTGGCTGCCTCCATGTTGAAGTGAACCGAGTCATCCCACTTATCAGTTCAAATCATCTCTCTATTGGTGGCGGAACACTCTACA